CTCCAAGTTCCGTGATATATGATTTGCATGCCAACAAAACTCGACCAAAAGAACTGAAGATAATACGCATCAACTAAAGGTGAGAGTAAACTATAGCAATTACTACTTGCATGGTTAGGGAAGTTGCCTGGTTCACTCCAATAATTATCATATTTCATTACTGAACCTGAATCCTTTATAAATTTAGAGAACCCATCTGCGACATCTCCATCAAGAAGGTGAGCATTACGACAGATTAAGTCGTCGAAAGTTTGCGGCCCTTTGTCCTGATTAGGCGCGTTAAATTCAGATATCATCAGTCCACTGTAACAATTTGTTAGTAAAACGGCTACCGGTCCCCATGTTATAAATATTAGGCGAATAAATTCAGTGTTCCTCATAAATGTTGGCAATGGTACAAAGTCATCGAGCAATTGGGAAATCAATGATAACCAAATAGAAAATGAGAACCCGTTGCTTCTTTTCCACGAATATAACGATATACTTAGACAACTCAGGATTACACTAATAATTAAACAAAACCACAATTCAGGCTTAAACGGCATTAAGTAGAAGTTAAAATTCATATATGGTTCAGTGTAACAGCTCAAGAAGTATAATGTAAAATGAGTTAGTTGCTTATTTTAGTGAGATCCTCCTCCTCCTCCCCCCCAAACTCCGGCCTTCGGCCTCCGCTCAAGGCCGTTCTGGGAGGTAAGGATATGCGTTTGGCGAAGCTCGTTTTCTCATGCAAGAGTGTGAACTTGGTCATAAAGGTACATTTCATGCTCGTCTTATTATGCAAGAGTGTGTGTGTTAATTAGTTAGGGCATGCATACATACATATGTGATCAATTGTGAGCTTTGATGAAATTTGTATCATATGTGTGTAATGGTTCATGAAAATGTGCTTCTTTAATGCTGTTTTTTATCTGAAATAAAATATGCATGTATTATTTGTCATAATTATAATTTATTGAAAATGGCCGAATTGAGAAAATTTAATAATTGGACTGGTAATTGGAGATAATTTTTATTCTTATTGTTGAGTTGTTGTTGGTTGGTTTTCCTCATGATTGGGGGTACGTCTCGTTGCATCATAATGAAGTTGGTTCAATTCCAGTATATTGGCTCGCGCATTCTCTAACGTCATGGATGTGATGGTGGTCGTGGTGGCTTTATTCATGGTGGGGTGTGGTGGTGTGGGTCCGCTTTCTACGTCTTCTACGGTGGATGCCTTGTGCCCACACATCGTTCTGACTCGTTCCCAAATCAGCTTTCTTTTCAGAAAGAGAAGGCAACAGGACGGGATGGAGGAGAAAACCAAGGAGAAAGTGAACCAGCCTGCAGTATTACAATATAAATACATAGTTATTACTATGTCCATCTACATATAGTTTGGATGACATGCATACCATAAATTCCAGCGTTGTTGGGAGGAGTTTCGCCATGTGTAGGTGTGCCGTGTGTTCTTGTAGGTGGAGGAGAAAGTTGTTGAGATGGTCCCAATTTGGTGGTGGTTGGACAGTCTTGGCCTGGATCGACGCGTGAAATGGCGTTGCGACTTACAAGTAGGGGGTTTGAGACACATCGCGAACCACCCCCAATTGTTTCAAAAAAGATACAATATTGTGCTAGGCACATAAAACAGTTCAAAATAATTGAGCACTTCATAATAAATGTAGGAGGATGATTGAAACAGATGGGAATGATGGTGATGATGTATATTATGTAAATTTCATGTAAATGAATGAAACGTTACTTTGTTCATGTTAAGCTCATTTGAAGATGGAGCTCGTGATCAGTATTCTTCATTACGGCAATGCAACTGGAATGTGATTCGTCTGCAAATTATTTATGCAAGTGCTGTGTTAAATATTTAACTACATAAGTGGTTAAAATGAAGAAATTTATTTATTTACTGCTTTGTTTATGTGTGTACAAAGCACACTCACAGTGTATTGTAGTAAGAACTTGCATGGCTTGCGTATCTAACAAACGTTGTTTATGGATTTACATACAGAATGAAAAAAGTGCATATTGTGCCAAAAAATCAGATAATAATAACAGATAATAATAAATCCACTATTAAGTATATGACAAGCAATTCTTGTACCAGTTTTGAAATGGCGAAGAGTAAGTTTACATAAATACTGCTTAAAGGCCCCCCCGGTGTAAGACTATGAATTGGGCTAATTCTCGCTGAAAAAATTTAAATTCTCCCCAGAAACGCTCGAAAATATTGGGCCAACTTTTGGGGGTGAATTTGCAGTATCTTTTGCTCGAAAATTAGGTTCATGGAAACTAAATATGTAATTGGGGAGTAAAAATTGTGCCACAAATCCTCTCATTCTTGATACCGTTTTTGATGAATCTGGCGTGTTCAATGCAACAACATATAATTATGACCAAATGCATAAATGATGATACAATAGACATGCGAATATATCTTAATTCATTAGTTATTTATTAATATTAACGGGGAAAGAATCACTATAGCTAAGAAAAGATCATCATTGTCAAAAATACAAATGGAGAGTTAAAATGCATTTAGTGGAGAGATTTTGATTTTTTAAATATAAATAACAAGGAAAACTGGTAGCATTAAGTATCTAATTCTCGATACCGTTTATGATAACTTGGGACTCATTCTATGTATACTGCTCTCAATTATGATGATATGCATAAATGATTATGAAAAATACATTTTCACGTTAGTTATTAATTTTAACAGAGAAAAATCACTTAACATACATTTTTGAGGCATTAACTGACAACATGACATCGAATTATTACCAACAAGTGAATAGTTAATGGAACACGATAATTTTCACAACATGTTTGTATACGACAAAAAATTGACCGCAATTAATCCGCCTCTGTTCCTTCATCTGTCTCGTTGTGGACATCGTGCAAATGGGCTAAAGCGTCCAGAAACTCGACAGACTTCTTCTTCCTCCTGTTTTGAAGTTCAGGGTGGAACAAATAATACCCCAAAAACCAGAGAACCTGAATAATATAAAACATAATTAGTTGAGGGGAATAATAACACAAGATGAGCAATGCTTTATACTTACGGAACAAATGTGACTGCACATGCCGACAGTTCTGGCTCCATTCTTACACTTACAAAAGTAACCTTGTATGGCTTCCGGTCCCTCAAATTGTGGTATATATTTAATCCAGAGATGATGTCCTTCTGATTTTCGGAATCTTGACTGAATTTTGGCACGGACTAGATTTTCTTGGTCTTTGTGTACCATTATCGAATTGGTCGCGATTGAGCCCAGTAAAAATTTCATATTCTTCTGACGTCATTTTTGAATCGATACTGAAGTCGATCGGGAGTTTTTTCTGTGTTGCCTCTTCCGTGATGACTTCTATTCACTCCACTAGCTCTGCATTTGTGACCCTCACTTTATCCTGCGTCCCCTCAATCCGTTGCAACGTCTCTTCGGTGAACATGGTGTCCGTCAAGTGGGCACGACAGCATCTTGACCCCGGAGAAATGTACACCTTCTTCCGTAACCAGGTCTCCTTGATGGCTTCTTTCGGAACACGACACCTACCAGACCGATTGTGGCACAGAAAACGACGACTTTCTGAGCTAGAGTAGCCTCTGATTCCGTGAATTATGTGTGAAGATTGAGCGCACTGAGACGAGATCGAAGATATCACTGTAGACGCTGATACGGATATGGAGATTTGAGACTCGAAAACTGGCACCGATTGATCCATTGGTTGTAAGATATTAGAGTTTAAGACGGATGCTGAACTAATACTGAAGTTTTCATAGTCGATCCGGTAAGACAAGTCTGCATTTTCATAGCACGCGTCGCCAAAGGGGTCAACACTCCCGATTTGTTCTGGCACGGTATCGAACACAGGTTGAGATTCCTGTATATTAATTATTAAGGCATATTGTTATATACATATTAATTATATAGAGCCAGAAAAATTTTAATGTTCCAGGAAATATAGCAAGTACCATTTGAGTCGTGTCCGATAACAATTCGATATGCGAGTCCAGAACGAGATCAGGGTCTGGAGACGCCTCTTCGGAGTTTACTTCGGGGCTGATTCCAGGAAAATCGCCACTCACATCATGATTATTATTGACGTCAACTCCGTCACCGTCATCTTCAGTCTTTTGCCGTTTCTGAGGAGCATGGGTATCCTGATCTCTGCCCTTTTTTTACGTCGCATTCTTACATTGGCCACCTAACAATTTACCCACTTAATTAATATATGATTATATGTAGTTAAAATATATGTGCCACTTACATCTGCACTGCAGGAATTGCAAATAAGGTCAGTACGACTATACTTCTCCCAATCGTCCCCAACTAGCTCACAGAATGCGTCCCACATCTTTGGTGTCCCGATTTTGTTGGACTTCGTCACCCTCTTAGTTCGACAACGAGCAAAATTTATTTTTTTCATGATAAAAATTACCCACTAGGATCTCGAAAATTAAAATATTTTATGCTGCCAGCATTATGAGAATATTTTATTATGTTTGGTCATGCCATAATATTATTTTAAGATATTCCTCCACATAGTTACCATGCTAGTTACAAAAAAAATTGCAAAAAAATCTATTTTCCTCCCAATTTCCATGCAAAAACCCGCTCGGGAGGCATCGGACTAACCCCATCACGCCAAAGTTACTGATTTCTAAAATCAGGATTAATCGAAAGTTTATTAGTTCTCCCAAATTTTCTCAAGCGCACCAAAAATCAGTAACTTTGGCGTGTATCATTTTTATGCGACCAAAGTTGAGCCCAAACTCGTCGTCTTACACGGGGGGAGGCTTTATGCAGCATATCTTATTATGGTTTGGATTTTCAGATAAATTGCTGGGAGCTGTCAAATTTGCAGAAACTTCTACAAACTTAATTAGTACCACCCCCAAGGCTTATCTATGTAATTAGAATAGACACAAAATATATCTGAATTACAATTGTACTATTGATTGACAATTGTACTATTGATTATTGTTTACAATAGATAAAACCTCTATGCCTGATGAAGAATTTATTCTTCCAAATTCTGCACCCACCTCCTCACACACTCAGATAAAGAAGATAGATGAAGAAATTACACTTCCAAATTCACCACCCCCCTCCTCACACACTCAGATAAAGAAGATGGATGACAAAATTTCCCAGGATGAAGAAATTTCTCTTAAAACCCCACCACCCATCACGGCCCCTATTCTCCTAAAGAGGATGGATGAAGATATTACTCGCAAAACCCCACTATCGTCCACCACACCCACTACACCCCCCAACATGATAAAGGGTATGAATGAAGAAATTTTTCTTAAAACCCCACCACCCATCACGGCCCCTATTCTCCTAAAGAGGATGGATGAAGATATTACTCGCAAAACCCCACTTTCGTCCACCACACCCACTACACCCCCCAATATGATAAAGGGTATGAATGAAGAAATTTCTCTTAAAACCCCACCACCCATCACGGCCCCTATTCTCCGAAAGAGGATGGATGAAGATATTACTCGCAAAATCCCACTATCGTCCACCACGCCCACTACACCCCCCATATTATAATAAAGGGTATGAATGAAGAAATTTCTCTTAAAACCCCACCACTCCTCTCCTCGCCCAACATATCTACGCAAACTTTACATCCTCATTTAATGAATGCTTTGCCGAATTTAATAATTGTTCCGGTAATGCATTTACGTGACCATAATTCTAGTAGTAGTCCGACAGCTCATATTGTTATAGAACCTGTGAATCGCATTAAATGTATATCAAAAAATAGGCAGAGACACACAATAGGGCTAAAGATACGAAGACAAATGTGTCGCCTCATTTTCGCGATGGAGCTATATTTTAAAAACGTGTCATTCAATATCAATCGACTATGGTATGGTTGGTACTTGCTAAACCCTATGTTTGAGAAAGATAAATGTACACATTTTAGACGTCAAATTGGCGCTAAACCACGTCACATAATATCAGACTCATTAAAAGTAATGAGAGTTATGTGCATGGTAAAAGCTAGTATGAAACGTTACTTCAGTTTAGCACATACAGGAAACCAGAAATACTGGGAAGGGTGGAATTTACTTAATCCCATGTTACGTCAGACCTGCGATATTATTCGAGTTATGTAACAAATGAAGTACAACTTACATTAACGATTTCGCCTAAGTGTATGACAAAATTGTGTTTGATGTAAATAAATACCCGTAGAAATTAATCTTACTTATACTTATTTCGCATACTTACTGTTGATACGTGTATACACATATATATATACTTTAACTTCATAGCAAATGGTAATTTTTATGCCAGTACAAATCTGATTGTAATGTTTTAACAATCGTTTGGTTTTACCGAATTCTGAAGAGTTATCATTGCTGGTTTACTAATGTGATCTCCACAGTATGTAGTAGATATGTACAATCGGGTACTTTGTAATCCTGCTCAGTGTTTTAGTAAAGAGTTTTAGAAACGTCTGCCATATGAAACTGCGTAAGATAGTAAACAGATTTACGGGCAATGCAACAATATAAAGAACAATACAATGCGGAATGACTAATTGTAGTGTTTGTAATAGGAAATGTTATTTTAGAAACCATCATGACCTCAGCTACCGCGGCTTTTGTATAAAGACGTATTTATGTGGTACTCACATAATTTAAGCAAGCAGTTTCAAGTATCAAACTACCAAACTTGGTTCCACTACTAAAATAAAATACAACAAAAATTCGTAAACCGATTTGATTTGATTTGATTGCGATTTGATTTGTCCAAGTCATAAAATTTGTTTGTAACATTTGCATTAAATATTAATTATACCAAATTTTCCCAACAATGGAGCAGAATTTATTTGCATTAAAGTGCACCGTGTGTGCCTTTCCCTGTGCTGTGCTAGAGGATGTTGGGAAAACTTGTGTCTCAAGACACACATCGTTTACTGTAAACGAACTAGTGTTGTGCCTTCATAAATCTCATGTGACACTTCCATTTCAGCCAACGGTCCAGATAGAGCGTCAGGAATCATCAGATTCCGACTTTTCGGAAGAATCTTCAGTTTTAAAAGAAACTATTTGTAAAAACCCACCAACCACGATCTCAAAACACAAAGTGTGTAAGCAATCCACACATCAAACCCCACCGCCAACGCCAGGCCCACTGAACTTTGTGGGAGTGCCGTTCACTCGTGAGTCCTATCAGCTCATGAGTGAAGATGCACGAAGGATTAAGGCAGGACAGAAAGTGAAGAAAATTAAATCGAAGTTTATTTCCATCAAATCCATGGCTGCTGCTGAACGTAAGCTTCATTACAGTACCAAAACACCATTAAAGGAAATCATAATCATGTGCATCGACTGCACGAAGAAAATCAGATACAAGTGTTATCCCAAACACTATCAAAATTGCAATGGACGCGATATCGAGTGTTATTATTGCTCAGCTTGCAATCAAGAATTTCTCAACTCGGCCGGATTGAAGCTTCACATACGTTCCAAACATTAAATAATAAATCCATTTACTACATATCGACAAATATGTATATAATCGTTTTATGCACGTTCTAGCATTATTATTAGAATTAGCACTCTTATGCTATATTAATAATATAGATATAATATTAATACAATATTGACCAAGAGAATGAATTTTATAAATACGCAGGAAGAGATTGGCAAGGTTGATTTTATGAAAATTTGTACAATGGTTTTTAGCCAACTTTCTTTCGTGTAAATATGTGTGAGTTTAATGCATCAGTATTGTATTTCGAGTTTCGTACATATTTTGCGGTCATTCTAATTTAATTTGTAAATAAATATAAATTCATTTGGCTTGAAATTTTATAAATTTATTATGATAAAATATGTAATAATAAAGGGTTAGAATTGTCTACTTTTTTAAAATTAATTTATTGCTTTCTCCATCGGGGTGCAGGAAACTGCCCCACACTGGAAAAGTCAGAATACAAAATTCATGAGTTGAGTTCATGATATACCATCCCTTTATCACATGCGCAATAATGACAGTTTCATAGCTTCATTCACAAACTATTTTCTATTTTGCCATTTTATCATAGTGTTATAAAGTTCGTATCATATATAAATTTATTGCACGTTCTCTTCATTTTTTGTGCTTCATGACACAGCATAGAAATTATGTTTTGTATTACTGTCAAGATGAATGAAACGCATATAACTAACTACTTAAATATTGTCCCATGGCCGGACAAATGCATATCAATCAACCATGAGAAATCGCTAATAAATTAGGACGGTGGTGTCGTCGCCCGGCCCTCTGTTACAACTTAAATAAGGTCTCCTATTTAAATATTTGAAGAACTGTTGACTATTTTAATTGTCTATTTCCAGCATATATATGTATTCACTTATCTCTACGCTTTTTCTTTCCCATGTTGAACTTTTTTGACAACAATTTGGTTAGCCTGATGAATTTTACAGGTTTAACTAACTCTATCCCTCCACACACTGGTCTCAGATATTCGTGTTGAATATAGGCGAAGAAAGTCTCCTTACTTAGGGTGACATTAATTAGAGAGAGGAACGAATTTATATTACGATCGTAATTTGATGTTAGCACTGAAATATGTAACACAATTAAAATAATAAATCTCTGGCCAAAACTTTAGTTAACTAACGTGATGAAATATTTTGATAATTATCACACGCACAGAGTTATAATAAGTCGGTTAAAGCTGATAACAGTATGGGAGCCTACTATGTAGGCTAGAGCCTACTAGTATGGATCCCTAATCTACCACCGGGTACGCAGTTGTCTCATGTAGTACCGACTTATCTTTGGTAATCACAATACCTGGACCATACTACGGACTGCACTAAATAGGTATTTACTCGACATTTATTTGTCTGAGATGAGAATGATGAAATAAATTCAGTCAAATGAAGTACTATCAAAATGTGCTCATTTAGAGCCCCAATTGTACGCACTCACTTTTATTTCTATTTAAAAACAATGCAATTTGCGTCTGAATTTTGCACAAAGCCTCGTCTCTGCACCATACGGTGGGAAACGATTTGTAAAATCTGTAACTAAATCTGTCAAAAGCGTCAATGCTGCCTTTCCTTTTTGGGGAAGAGAGTACATAAGTAGTAATAAGAATAATATAACTGTGGTGAAGAATTATTGAGCCGATTGCATCTTTAATATTGCATTCACTCACTCATCCACCGGCATGCCATTTACAAACTGGTGGAAGAAAGTGGCTTACTTTCACTCGTGCTGGTCGTCCGAATTGTGGAATTATTGCACCTTCCACAACAACTTTCCTCCCTGTCCAGACCTTGATTGAGATAACTGAATTTCCTATCCTCTGCAGCTGCTGAAATTTAAAGACTTTTCCTAACCTTCGTGAACCAATAGGGTTTGAATATTGTTATTATTGTCATTTCTCTTTTGCTGCATTCGTTCAAGATTTTGATAGTCATTGTTCCTGGTTCTAGCTACTCTTCCTTGCCCACAAATGTGAGGCCGATTTTTTGAATGAATGTTTTGAGAAAGTGAGGAAATCTGAAAACCATTTTCTGACCAATATTTATGTCACTGTCAAAGAGATTAATATTTGTGGCTAGTTGTCCGTCAATCGGTTAGCGAGATATATGATCTGCTTCTCATTTCTTCCAAGTCATACAGCTAGTCAGTACTACTAACTCAGTAGTACATACTAATTATTTTGAGAGACGTTGTCACATTCGACTTCGAAAAACGAATCTGGATGGATCTTGGAGTTATTATTGTCAAATTATCGTATACAATGTTTATTTAAACGATTTTAATGACTGAATCATTCCAGAGGCAAATTATGTACGTATTAGTCATGCATACATACTTTTCTCATGATGCATTCATTCACTGTTGTGTGCTTAAAACTTGAATGTCCTATTGTCCTAAGGATATGATGAGTATTTGCATATGTGTCATGTAATGTGATATTCCTCTATTTTTTCACCTCGACAAGAAAATGCTTCAAATTTTAGAAATAATAAAATAAGATAAATGTGCTGTCATTAAACTTGCTCTAATTTTTAAAGCATTTTACAATCCTATCCATTGATCTCCTCTCTCTGTAGCAATAAATCATTTCGTTATTATTATGACGCAAAAAACAAGGCATCTGATGATACGATATCCTATCCCAACCCTGTCACTCGTAATCACTACGTCATGAAAAAAACAAGGAAACTAAAATCCATCTCGTCTCTCTTAAATGCATACGGTCATCCGAGTGAGATAAATGTAACCCTATTTTTTGCTGGGACTGTCTATAATATAAGATTATTCACTATCTACACATATGTATAAGCTGAAAGGAAGGTAATGCAATACCATAGCTTAAAAAGTCAGGTTCATGGGCGTAATATAATACTACTCGTTTTTATGCAAGAGCAATTAACTAAACCACTACGAGACCTTACTCCTCGGCATAAAAGAAAGTGTTGCTTTGCTGCTGCGTGATACAAATCCTCATTTTATCGTGGCAAAGAATGGTGGCCTTAAATTTCCCTAAGTCTGGTGGTTGTTGTTGGTTAAATCTTTACTCGAGAAGAATAAGATGTTTCAAAAGTCCCTAAAATGCAATCTGTAGGATTTCATTTTTTGTCCACATTTCCTTCTTCTTCTGATACAAAAGTAAATTTTTTGCTTCTGAGGCATTGTTACATTTTCAGCCTTACTACATATGCAGAGGGATGGCAACATTGAACTTGAAGTCCGAAAGGACCTCAAATTACATCTTTATTTTAATAGTTTGACGAATGTTTAACTGTGTATCCTGAGGAATCGATAGAAATGTTCATGAAATTTTACAACCGACCAGTCTGCTCTCATGCTTTTAGTTGTGAACGTTTTACTCTCGGACTATGTAGGGGGGGGTGAAATTTGCACTGAATTTGAGGACAGACCCGCAATAAATGCCGCACACTGCACAAGAATATTATGCTGGATTGTTGGAAAAAATATTTAAAAATCATACACGGAGAGGAAAAGGGAAAACTGGCATTTCTTAGAGTATGGGCACAATTAATTTTAAAATTTAGAGAATTTCCATGCCTAAATTTCTAAATATTTAGCTCCTTTGCCAATTAATGGACGTGACTCCAGGCAGCCATCTACATCAAGGCCTCCCTTTGAATATTACCAAGTTCATAAAATGCACCAGCATTTACTAGACCTTCAGAGGATGGCGAATCCGTCCTCAACTTTGGATAGTAGTCACGAGAAAATAACTTACGAAAAAGAATGTTGTAAGAATCAGTCAAAATTTTCAAAACCAGCGTTTAGTCAGTGGAGACAAGAAGTATCAAAAGAAATCCTCTCCTCTCTGAAGAAAGCCTCTCTGATTCATACTTTTGCGAATAATCCTGGCCAGTGGGGAATTAAGCCAGATTATTTTGAAAAGGGTCCCCACGTTGGGGTAAAGATTGCTCTAATGAGAAGAATGCCAGAATTGTTGGCGAATCTGTTAGACTCTTTGGCGAATGGTGTATCCAAATTGACAATTTTTAACGTTAATATCAATAGAGGCAATTCTGTAAGGAATTCACGAAGGGAAATGTAATAAAGATTAAACATATATTAAACATTAAGCAATTTAAAGAAGTGGTGTGTTCCTGTATCCAGAAATGTTTATGTACATCTGTACTATGTTTTATTTACTTCACTTCATCACCACTCGCAATTCATGAGATAAAAGAATGACCAGAGTAAAATTTGATAAAAAGCACCTCCAGCCTCCAAGGTAAATCCACTACTAAGCAAATTTAGCATTGCAAACTAACTTTATCCTAATAAATACATACATCTTGCTAATACTTTTTATTGGAAATGTTGGCATTTTTGTGTAAATAATGCATATACATTATTATTACATCTCTTCAACGAAAACTAGTTTTGATGTGTGCGATTATCAAGTTGAATTAAAATGCACAATTGCAAACCAGGCAACTTAAATATTGGTGTCTTGCTGTAACGCAATTCAAGTTCAAAGACATTGTCTGCAAAAAATAGCATGTCTGCATGCAATTGGTGCCAATGCAGAAGAGTCGTATTGTTATTATTTGCACAAGAGTTTTTTTATGGCTGCTGCTGTATTGTAATGCATAAACAATTGTTTTTTATTTATGCCGAATTCTATAAAATAGTCATGAGTCATGAGTGACTATAATTTGCACAGTGGAAGATGTATGTATGTATTTCGATAAAAATCCAGAATTCTACATACTATTACCGATTCGCACTTACATTTATTTGGATTTAAAATTATTATACATACATCATATTGTTAAAAGAATCAAGTATTATGGAAATTTAAATTGATATCAAATTAGATAAAAGGGGTTTGCAAAATTGAATCAAAGTAAATAAAAGTGCTTAAATGAAAAGATTAAAATTATTTGCGGGTTCTCAAATTAAAAGGACGCGGAGTTATAGGTGTTGGTGATCTTGATGGGGTGTAATCGCTGTCCCTTTCGTGCCGTGTGATTTCTCCATCACTACTTGTCGAACTTTCACCCTCTGATTCGATGTTGGATACATTATTTTGACGCCGTAGGCGAGGTGGTTGTGGGGAAAGTGGTGGAGAAACGTGATCACGGTCTTGATGGTTGTCCTCATCGTCATCTGAGAAGAATTCGAATATGGGTGGTAGGGAAACCTCACGACTCGGTGCCCGTGACCTAGATCTGGAGTGAGATCTTATCCTCCTGTTAGGGACGTGACTCCTTCTCTCGACCAAATTCGCCGTTGGTTGCAATAATCGTGCAAAATATCCTCTGCAGATTTGCATAAAATTACGGAAATGACCCTCGATTGCTCGGTAAAAGACGAATAACTTGACAGCCAATAGTAGAGATAACACGGTCCATATTATGGCTAAAATAAACAAAGAGAAAGCAAATACGTATTAAAGATGGAACATTAACAATGACAGTTTTCATGTTATTTTGAAAGAGAAAGTAGGAGAAAAAAACTTACTTAGGTACATGGTCATGTCCGAACTAATGCACCGTGTTTCCAATTGTGGAAGAATTGTGGGAAGAGGGGGAGGAGGACATTGAAGGACATTTTCCTTGTCGTAAACGACAGCTTCCCCCCGGACCAAATAATCATATTCCACACAAACCTGTGTGATGCCCGAACTAACCCACTTGCAGTAGAGAGGGAGGAGTGGATCTAAACAATCCGTACAAGAAGCAATGGAAATACACATGTGTGAATTCATTGTAATAATTAAATTATGCTGAGATTATATTTTGCAGTAACCGGATGTTTACACAGGTGAAAGTAGTTACCGCTACAACTTTTGGCCTGATGACGTATCACTAAATTCAATGGTTAACAAGACTCGTTATTTTTAAACAACCCCTCTACTTATATGTGCACATGTACATACTAAGGAAAGTTTCTGGAAATTTTTTGAAAACCACCCGCCACAACTTTCACACATGTACATATGCTTGCTACGGAATGTTTCTGGAAATTATTGACAAACCACTCCCACTTGGCGAATGTACATATGTATGCTACGGAATGTTTCTGGAAATTATTGACAAACCACTCCCACTTGGCGAATGTACATATGTATGCTACGGAATGTTTCTGGAAATTATTGACAAACCACTCCCACTTGGCGAATGTACATATGTATGCTACGGAATGTTTCTGGAAATTATTGACAAACCACTCCCACTTGGCGAATGTACATATGTATGCTACGGAATGTTTCTGGAAATTATTGACAAACCACTCCCACTTGGCGAATGTACATATGTATGCTACGGAATGTTTCTGGAAATTATTGACAAACCACTCCCACTTGGCGAATGTACATATGTATGCTACGGAATGTTTCTGGAAATTATTGACAAACCACTCCCACTTGGCGAATGTACATATGTATGCTACGGAATGTTTCTGGAAATTATTGACAAACCACTCCCACTTGGCGAATGTACATATGTATGCTACGGAATGTTTCTGGAAATTATTGACAAACCACTCCCACTTGGCGAATGTACATATGTATGCTACGGAATGTTTCTGGAAATTATTGACAAACCACTCCCACTTGGCGAATGTACATATGTATGCTACGGAATGTTTCTGGAAATTATTGACAAACCACTCCCACTTGGCGAATGTACATATGTATGCTACGGAATGTTTCTGGAAATTATTGACAAACCACTCCCACTTGGCGAATGTACATATGTATGCTACGGAATGTTTCTGGAAATTATTGACAAACCACTCCCACTTGGCGAATGTACATATGTATGCTACGGAATGTTTCTGGAAATTATTGACAAACCACTCCCACTTGGCGAATGTACATATGTATGCTACGGAATGTTTCTGGAAATTATTGACAAACCACTCCCACTTGGCGAATGTACATATGTATGCTACGGAAAGTTCCAGAAATCATTGACAAACCGCTCCCACTTGGCGAATGTACATATAATATGTGTTCCGGCCCGTGTGGTTCCGCGCGATTATGTAGTATATTGCGAGGCTAGTGGATATTTTTTTTTGGATTTATTATTTTTCGATACGAAATTACATAGGCTTCAGCGGCTATAAAACATTTTGTGCCAAAATGACCAACTCAAATAGGATAAGGTGAAAAAAGTGAACACCTTGTAAATCTAGTTTTGTAACACTGCAAAACCGTCGCCATGCTTGACTCGAACAAGGCGTGCCAGCACTTTAAAACGGTAGAATGTTCCAAAACCACTATCCATTTTTACATTTCGAAGTACAAGGATGCCGAAACCGTGAAGTTTAAAAAAAATCCTGGGACACCTCCTGTCATAGGCACCCCTAGAAAAGTGAAAGCCATGAAAAACTATTCACGACCAACCCTTCCATTTAAATTCGTCCCGCGGCTCGGAAAGTGAAAATTTCCAAAAGTTTGCTGAGCATAATTAAAGCTCAGAAACTGGGGATCACAGCACAAGTTAAACAAAGTTCTCCAAAGTACCTTGGGACTAGGGAAGTAGAGTCCAAAAATGTTGCAAAAAATTGAATCAAAAATTGTCACACAAAAATGTCATCGTGGATGACGAGACCTACGTCATCGTTGTATCTTAAGAGACTTTTGGAGGACAATTTTTCCACGCATTCAACCTCTGCGATGAGGATTACAAAGAAAAAATTAAGGTCAGAACCAAATTCCCCAAAAAATATTGAATTTAGGAGGCGATGGACAGTTTTGGCAACATTTCTCGACCCTATATTTGCCTGGGCACCATAAACCCACAAGTTTATGAAAGTGAATTTTTGAAGCGGTTACTTAAGTGGGTGAGGAAAAGTAACAATCCAGACGAAATTTGATTTTGACCGGACCTCGCGACCTCCCATTATGCCAAAATTTGTACCACCTACTTGGGGAACAAAGGCGTCGATTTTATTCCCAAGAACGACAACCCCCACAAATCTCCCCCAACTGTGACGAATCTAAAAGTTTTGGGCCTTGTGCGAAAGAATATATTACTACCTTTGTAATAAGTCTGAAAATGTGGATGGATTCAAACGCCGATGGACTAAAATCAGCAAGGACATGGCGCATGAGGGTGGAAAATCGCTCATGGCATGGATGCGCCGGAAAATCAGACTAGTGGCAGAGAAAAAAATAAAACCAAAAATGCCAAAGAAGGCATGGCCAGTAGGGTTCCCACCTACAATTTTTCGAAGGTTTTATAAAAACTCATTAGCCCGTTCGAATTCCGCAGGTCATTTTGATCGGAACCACACGGGTCGGAACGTACTATACATGCTACGGAAAGTTTCTGGAAATTTTTGAAAACCACCCCCCTACTTTCACACATGTACATATGCATGCTAACAACAAATTTTTTTTAAAGGCTCACCACAACCTCACAGGTCCACCCCCTTTGATGAAATTCAATGGAACGAGCAAGCGATTAAGCTCCCACATCGTAATGGGATGAGTTCTTGCTAGTGTTAAACTTGGTAGCGGTTAACAAAGATTTTGCATTTAAAAAAGAACGGATTTGGTTTTCAGATTACCTTGGGATAGTGTGAGATTTATTTCAGATTGATTAGAAAGTTGGAGAAGAAGAGAGAAATTATACTGAAGTAAAAGGCAGGATGCAGTCCATTTTATACTCGAAAAATTTTCGCCGTTGAGACTTTTCAATGTGGAAAGAAAGCAGTAGAACTTTCCAGAAGAAAGTGAAAGGTAATGATGATGATGCAATATTATAAATTTATTTCAACAGCTCCTCTGAATTCTATTGCAAGAGATTGCAAGCAAATTACATATACACATTTGCACATGAATTCACATCTAAAATGTTGGCAGTTTACTTTCATTTAATGCATTACGGAGATAGGAGAGCATACATTTTGCCGTGGAACAATCTGGAAAAATTGGAAAGAGTATTCTTTACGCAAAATGAAAAGCAAAGACGATGATGCAATTTAAACGGCTATTTCAGTATATATTCCTTATTTGTCGAACATTCTGGAAGCGTGGTTCTAGAGTAATCTCTTGCATGCATTACGGGTATGAGAGTATATATTTTTTGCAGCCGTTGGTTACATTACGTTGGTAATATGTTGTGGGATATTTATTTTCCTTTAACTCATGTTGGAAAAATTGTATAAATAGACACACACTACTTTTGCAACTCAGTTGCAAATTTGCTTTCTAGCAATCACTTCTTGAAATTAATCCACATTAAAATATAGATTTTTCATCCAACAATTCTTTTAAAAATTAGTGTCACATTTTTAAATTTAATATTTTAAACAACGGCCAGTTTACGAAATCATATTATAATATCCGTGCAACATAATAAAATAAATGACCTTGAAAGACAAATAAAGGTTAGATTGTTGATATCAAGCCTGTTTTAATGAGCGGTGGTGGCGACGTGCAAAACTCAAATGTCTACTTGAATATTTGCGAATACTATGAATAAAAGTGTAAAAAGTTTAATAAGAAGAGCAGGTCCATATTTAATTGGACCACAATTGAATACCTCCACAACTAAATGTGTTAAACACTACTTGGCCAGAAAAATAGGCACTGACATATTTTATACGGTGAAAGTATTAACTCTCCCTCATCCAATCGTTCTTGAATCAATGGACCAGATTCAGGGACATATTTTAACGAACACTGAATATACTTTACTAAAATCCTTAAGACGGGAGAAAGGTGTAGTGCAACTGATTGACCTTTATAAGGAGTTGGTAGAAGTGGGTACGGATGGGCACAATTTTGGACGAATGAGGACAAGAATCTATCTAGTGCTCGAATGTTATACACCACACGACTTTTCTACACAGTATACAAATCTAATAACCCTGCAACAACTCGTGATTAAGGTAAAAAAAGTGCCTGAATATTTTACCATCAGAATTTTGTACAATGTAGTAAATGTGCTGCCTAAACTCCACCAAAAAGATATTGTGCATCGTGATATTAAATTAGGAAACATTGTGTGGGACAAATATACAAAAAAAGTGACATTAACCAATTTTGGACTTTCGAAGCACCTGACTTGTAACGAAGAACAACTTATTGATCAAAGGGGCAGTCCGGCTTATATCAGCCCAGAGATCATTAGTGGCCGTCAATATACGGGGAAACCAACAGATTTATGGGCACTCGGAGTAGTGTGTTTCACAATGCTTTTTGGAAATTTTCCATTTCTTGATACTAGTCCGACCTATCTTTTTCGTAAAATTAAACAAGGACATTATGAAATACCATCTGATGTGATTGTGACTGAGCCAACAGTAAAAATAATTCGCTCGCTTCTTCTGCTTGACCCGCAAAAACGATTAACAGCTCGAAAAACACTTGTACTGCTCAAAGAAATAATTCATAAAGAAGAAATACTTCTCTCCGATGTGAATTTACAAGTCGTGCCAGACATCTAACAGTTAGAACCCAATATCAATGCAAATAAAAGCATCAATGATTTCAAGAAGATATTTAAGAGTGGTAAAATAAGGTTTTCATACCACTACATTTTCAATCTTTGAACAGTTTGGATCTCAAATTTATATCATAGCTTGAAAAAGGTAGTTGTTATACAAGTTTACATGCAGTGATGGTGTCAGATTTGTTGCATACGCTTCCTTTGTATCACGTTGCTTGCGTGAATAATAGCAAGCTTGAATACCTTATTGTGCAGAAAAGGATTTCGCCACCGCCGTTGGTTTTTTACTTCTCTAAAGATGCATAGTCTGAATTTGCAAATAGGTTCTCCTTTCTTGAGTTGGCCGTTTTGTTTCGCCCTGTTCATGTGAGAAACATTTGCAGGTAAAATACTCTGCACATTTAGTTGCTCCTAATGCATTACAAAATAAGAAGGCGTATATTGTAGGTGGAATATTCTACAAGAAGGAGGATACTCTCCATATGGGGTAATGATGACGATGCCAAAATAGATATTCATTTCAACAGATCTAGCCGACACTTCAGCTAAGATTACACTTGAATTCTCATTCTGAAAAGTGGCAGTTTACTTTTAATGCATTACAAGGTTTAAGAGTGGTAAAGTTAGATTTTCATCTCATTACGTTTTCAACCTGTGAACAGACCTGTTTGGATCTCAAGTTTTACCTAAACTCGTTTTTTATCCATGGATTTGCACAAAGAAAAGACGTTCTATTCTCAGATGGTAATATTTAACAGAAAAATTATACATTTTAATTTTACTCATTTTGCTAATTAAGATTTTCACCTTGCATGTTGAGAATATAATAAACCTTTCAAGATTTTCCTAAGATTTACACTTGGGGAATGTAAATATTTATGTAAATTATGTTATTGCAGAATAATTCATCCCAACCTTCACTGACACTCATCGTGGACTGGACCAAGTTACGTCTTTTATTCGGACTTGACGCTCTTCTTCAGTATCCACCTGTGCTCACAAATTTGGGTCAGATGACGAAATGTATCGCAAAAAACATAGGTTAAACCCTTTAAGGTAATCAAGGAGGAAAAAAACCCAATGGGAAAAAACCTCCATTAGGAAAAACCTCAAAGCGATGCAGCATTATCAGAAATTTGTAAATTCTGATAATTAAGTTAATTATCTCTAAATCAACCAAGTGTGCTATATCACGTAGGAAATGAATGTTAATGTGTCCATTTTAGTATGCAGGGTTTGAAATGTTATAATTTGGATTTTCCCAATACCTCGCATTGTTATAATTTGGATTTTTTTTCCCGAATATCCCCCAATGAAATATAAGGAAATCGATTTTAATTTAATTATTTACATTGTTAGGGGTATTCACATCATGCTTATACACTGAAAATAATCTGGTAATAAATATCTACCGGATTCGTAACGTCTTTGTGAGCCGTGTATGTATGACTATTATGTGAATCACGCGTATGTATATTGATATGTATCAATACATTTTACACACACAAACGCTGCACAATCAGAATGTCTGTAATTTCTGATTGTGTTATTTTATTCGTTATTTACTATTTTATGCCCAGGATACCAACGTGATCATCGTACATTTCTCTGTCCGGGTGATTAATATTTGTATGCAATGACAAAAAATCACGAGAGACTTTCGCCCACACTTCGAAGGTCTCAATTATATTAGCCTTCTCCGATAATGCGAGCTGGTTTAAAAGGAGAGGTAATTATGAACAGTTGCATCGTGTTTTAATGTAATAAGCTCGAGACAAATATGGATATAATTATTTTCAAATGTAAAATGTAATTGCATAAAATTACATTGCATATTTGAATGAGGTTATTAGTGAAACATTAAGTTGTGTCTTTTTAATTGTATGCTCTAATGTTATGTAATTATAAAAAGTCTGTGAGTATCACTCTCCGGGGCGAGTTTATTAATTTATTAATTTAACTATAACTTTTACATGAATATGCCTATTAATCCTTGTGGAGAAAGATTTCACGGCACGATTTTCTTTATTAATTTAGCTATAACCTTTAAAAGTGATGTGAGTATGCATCCTGTGCTTCGAGCCAGCTAAATTATTAGTCGTTATTAAATATCTAAGTATTGTCTTCAATGTTGTGCTCAGAGTTTTACGTATACCAAAAGGTAATTGTGAAAATGGTATCGAGTTTTAATGTAATAAACTCGAAACAAAATAATTCTTTTGAGTTTGGATAGAATTTATAGTAAACATAGTTTGGGCTAAGAAAATAAATATATATATATATATATCCCTAACATGAAATTTATTTGTTCGATGCTTATTATTTCACGAAACACGACAAATTCTCATTCGTACATAAATATTGTCAAATTCGTTTGTTAGCTCATCAATTCGTATGAATAATTCAAGTTCATACATTCAATTTCCGTAATCAAAATTAAGAGCCGTGGGCTCACCATCACCACCAAAAAAAACAATAGTAACGCCACACAAAACACAAATCAACAATGCTCATCTCCCCTTTCTTAACAACTACTTTGCATATGTAAGTATGTAACAATAACATTAAAGAGACCCACAGACACAGTTTCGTGAGCGAACAAGTAACAAAGGTTTATTCCCTTTCACAAGAATTGCATCACCATTACATACATATGTACGCGTTATAAGTACTCTACATAAATACATATTACCGCATAAACACACAATTTCATGAGCAAAGCAAAACGTTAATTTTCATGACTTCATACGTCAAATTAAAAGAGCCAAGTTCATCTCATTACACTGGATATGCATTGACATCTTAATTGCTCATCATAAATAATTGCCTTTAATTACTCATCAGAATTGTTATTTATTTATTTATTTGCTCATCATCATAATATTTACATTTTAATTGCTCATCATCATAATTAACTATGATCTTAATTGCTGCTTGCATTTTCAACACATTTTCACGAGCCATAAATACATGAACTTTTCAAGTTCATCTCATTAACACACACACTCTTGCATAATAAGACGAGCATGAAATATGTACTCATATGACCAAGTTCACACTCAGAACGGTTGAGCGGAGGCCGAAGGCCGGAGTTTGGGGGGGAGGAGGAGGAGGATCAGCAGGACGAGCATCCCTTCAGCTTATCCAGCTCATCAAAATAAGCAACTAACTCATTTTACATTATACTCAAGAACTGCATGCCTGATGCAGATATCAACTCGTTAAGCTCGTATATGTAACCAACTGTATTCTCAGTTGTCTCAATAAGCATATCGGTCTTGTGATTGTTATCAGTTAAGGTTAATGTAGCATTTGTCCTGGAGACGATTATCACTGCCATGTAAACTGGAATAGATAAGGCTGATTTTCTACCAAAAGGATTTGCAGAAGGAGGTGGTACATATTGGTTTTCGTTTTTAAACTGGACTCCATAATGTCCCACCCAACTTGATGGCACCGTCGTCAATGTTTCATATTGTTTCATAAAGTTATCTCTATTTTTACAAATATAATTGTCTCTAGTTCGCATTGCTTTACCTGCTTTTTTTATGCACAACTGAAATACTGAATTATGGTGGACACAGTACTTATTTAAACAAATTTGTGCCAAAATTTGAAAAATTATATCTATTTATGTATTATGAGGAACTTTTAAAACAACGCTGGCTGACTTAAATAAATTTGTAGGTGGATTGGTTTGCCTTTATCAAATAACTGATATTTGCATATATATATAAACTTATTTTAATTATTTTTTCGCTCAAGCTTGATCGTGCGTGTAAGAATATTTAATGTAAATTTGTTGAATAAGGCGTATCCATCACGGAACAACTTACGTATAGGCAGTGTTCGTCTTAACTTCCATCCGCACATATTATTATACATGTCCCACGAACCAACCTGATCAGGCCTTGTTCTTACATTGCACAGTCTACAGGATCCCTTTGTTGACACCGTGAGGTGAAGGGATGCGTTGGGTTATAACAGTTTTGTGGGAACCGGCGAAATAAAAATGTAGAAAGTTTTCGACCTTGGCGTTGTTGCAGGTGAAAATGATGCCACATTTTTTTAACTTTTTCAAGAACTCAATAAAACATTGCCATTCAACATCGTGTTTCCATCAACAAATTTATTCTTCTCAAATTACATCCTTCCTAACTAAACACACCACTTTATCTTCACCAATATACTAATTTCTCAGTTCAAGCAGCAATACCGCCTCTTCCTATTGGGAAATCCGCACCTCTCAATGTTCACTTCGTGCCGGTGCTCATCGCACTTTGGCCACGGGTTCCCACATCTAGTCCACTCGCATGCGTTGGGGTCTTGTCCCTCCACCTGGTCCACGTTCTGCATGACCAAAATTCCCACGAAGAAGACCACCGTCAGAAGAAAGAGGGGCTTCAAATTCATTTTCAGAAATTTCTACAGGGTTGGCAAAATTATAAATTAAATTATTAAATTTAAATTTAGCGCCTTGTCCCCAAAAACAATGACCGAAAATGAAATATTTTCCATCTTCCTGGCAACAAACTTACCTGTTGCGGAGCTCCTTCTGATCACAATATCTATTTCGCAGTTGCTTTTCCATTTATATGTTCTCAATTGCGGTGCAGCCTCTTTTTTATACCGACTGTAGTCAAGGTAAGCCCGATGTTTGCCTGTGTACCCAAAACATGTTAACAATTTAATTCCTCGAATTGCACCCTTGTCTAAATCCAAATTTCGCATTATTCCAGCTCTTTTATGGCTTGCAAAATACCATAAAACTGTTTTCATAATCCTCTCTCCAATTATTCTGCCAGATTTTTGTTTACACAACTTCTACGTGGTTAGTACAAATGCGCACTTGTATTTCCCAGAACACTGAGTATTTATTTATACAAACTAACTATTTAATTTAAAATTTTCAAAGTACTTACAACTGATTCAGAATCTCTCACATACAGTGAAATATTTCTTCAGTCTGGGTTGGGTTGCGACTACATGGACACAGCAAGATGAAGACATCAAACCACGTACATATGCACAAATTAGTAATTAAGACCCCAACCATCCTTGATATAGATATATATCAATGGCATTGATTCAATGCTAAAGAAATGTCAAGGAAAAATAAAGAGAAGATAAGCAGCCAATTCGTCATACCAACCTAATCTAACTTGCGTAATCCATAAACACACCACTTTATTATCTGCACCGTCATGCTCATATAAAATGCACTTTTCCATGAATATGACAGTCTCAGCATTTAAACATGTATGCATGTATGACGAGCCGTTAAATGACCTCTCCTAAAATATGGAACACATTTAAAAGTAAGAAATCGTTTTTGTTATTAACCTACAAACCATAATTAATTGAGTACACTTCACGCTAAGTCAGTTAAAAAAATGCTGAAAATTAATTATTCCGTTATTTATCGTCATCAAACACTTAATTTTTATTTCTTTCACAAAATTATGACCACCACCACGTCGCACCATGCCAAATAAAAACATCTCAAAATACCCCATTTTTTAAAATCTTTATTATTCCATCCACATTCCCGCTTTATTCAAATTCATTAATTACGCCTTCTTCCCCTTACAAATGATCTCGTAATTTTTTAACATGCAATCGTAAACTTTCTGAAACGCTGGGCATTTCCCATCCACCTCGACCATGTCAGCATCTAAACATAGAAAATATTTAAAATAACCCCCTAAAATTTTAAACCTTCCCACTCACCATCTTTCAAACACTTATCCACTCCCTCTATGATTTTATCCTTCGCGTCCTCATCCCCCATGCTGGTCTTCCTCCCCTCTTTCTTCATCCACAACTTGTTCAGCTTATTTCCGATCATGGGGCCATCCATGTGTCGGAAGACGCAGAGTTTAGCACACTACCACCAATCTCAAAATAAATTCAAACTTCCGAGCACAAATTTAAAAGAAAACTTACAAATTCATCCTCCACCCCTAAACAATTGCCGCCGCCAAAATCCCTTTCGTCACCGTCTCTGGCGGGAAAACGACAGATTTCCCGTTACAAGTCGAGTACGTCGCAATCTCTTTGTTCACATCGATGCCTCCACCGACCTGTAAAATTTCCAATTTACTAAATTTCTTCAAATTTAAATTACAAATCTCCTCACCGATTCCGAGATTGTCACCGCGACTAGAAATAAAACAACGAAAAATTGCATTTTTATCAATTTTTTTTAAATTTCCGGTTGTTTCCTCCTTCATGGAGCAGACTTCAAATTACAATGACGCCAGAATGGAGGCCAACTCTGGTTTTATTCTCCCTCCAATTCCTCAAAAGTTGTTTACAACAATTAATTCTGGAATTTCCGATGCTACGTGCCACGCGTAAGGAACTCGACATACGAAACGTCCCTGACGTCACGGCGGGGTCGTGCAACGAATACGCGATAATTTTAGACCACATCCAAATTTCATCTCCATCAAATAATAAATAATTTTAGTTAAACTATGGTATGGGAATTAAAATTAAACCCAATTTTGCGTTTTTTCTAAACTTCGAAGTGGCCGACCTTGCAATGCCTAATAACATTGAAAATTGAAATTTGAATTACTTTTTCATTTTACAACCGATTTCAAAAATCTCAACTGTCTTGAAAACATATGACCGTTGTGCAAAATACATATTCTCAGATTTTGAAATTTCGACCACACCCTCTTATGATCAAGGTCAAAAGGTCAGAGAAACATCCATTTCTCTGAACCAATTAAAATGATGAAATTTTAATATTTGTCGGCGGATAAGCCTATAACTCTTATCACCGGAACTTAGGTCATTATTATACGCCAACAGGTCACGAAACGCTCACTCAGGTCAATGTGGGTGTGGTCAGTGGGAGTGGCAAATATTTAAATATACAAATTTTAGTATCCCACGTTATTTATTTTAAAATTAGACTCAACCTATACGTCAACTTGTGACGTTTGTCGTCTCCCGACGTCGATGAATGGCCACACCCCCAGTGGGTGTGGTCAACGGCGCTTTCGCCAAGATTCATCGAAAGCATGGCATGCGACATATCACTTTTCTCAGCTCCACACAGCGAACTCGACAGTGTACCTGAAGTTCGAAAATTGACAAGCCACACCCCCAGTGGGTGTGGTCCACGGCGCTTTCGCCAAGATTCATCGATAGCATGGCATGCGACATATCATTTTTCTCAGCTCCACGCAGCGAACTCGACAGTGTATCTGAAGGATGAGACTTGACAAACCGTCCCCCAGTGGGTGTGGTCATTGTCGCTTTTGTGGTTATTAAAGATAACCATGGCGTTTGATACATATTTTCTATCATCACAGAGAACCTGTTAATCCTGTAAACTCTAGTTTTAAAAAACCACACCCTCCTAATAGTGGGTGTGGTTATTAGCGGTTATTGAATTACTTAAACAAACTCTGTCATGCGGCACATATTTTTCATCGCAAGAGAAAGGCAGCTAACTATTTAACTTCCAATTTCGAAAAACCACACCCCCTATTTTAGTAGGTGTAGGCATCAACACCATTTCTTGTGACATATTTTTGATAACGGTTGAGAGTGGAGCGACCTGTTTCGACCAATCGTGAAATACATCCTCATCCTCAATCCTCATCATAAAAAAATCATCACTACACTCTAAGCAACTGGGTATTGATTTTCAAAAAAAATTAATACCGCATGACAGTATTAACAGGTAGTACTGCTATGGTATTAATGTATAGTATAAAATTCATACTAATATTTTTAAAATTAATACCGGCGGAGTTTAAAGCATACTTAGTACTGCAAAGTATTATTCATTACTAATTTGGTATTGAAATCATACCAACTTTTAATGCCTCAAGCTTGCCCGTACCCGGCATCACTCAACTTGATCATTTCGCCAACATGTGTGCTAAAAAGTTAGTGCGAGCATCACATACCATTAAATTAAAATAATTAATTATAAGTGACGGAAATTGTATATACATATTCGTTTTCTCAGGTAATCATTAAAAATATTATCATAATGTGATACTTGAGTTGTAAAAGTCACTGGGATCGAAATAAAGATTTTTGATAACTCATATACTTAACTTGGGCCCATGCACATATATGAAATGCACATTTAGTCGTTTGACTGTGCATTAAACTCAAAATCTTGGCACGGATTTCAATTTTTTTTTGTATTTCACCATGGGTCAGAAAAGGTTATATGGTTAACGACCTTTCCATTGTGATAAAAAATATGTGTCGGATTTCAGGGTTAGCTTAACTAATTCAATAGGCGCTTGTAACCACACCCACTATAAGGGGGGTGTGGTTTTTAGAAATTGGAGGTTAAATAGTTAACGGCCTTTCTCTTTCTAGAAAAAATATTTGTCGCATGACAAGGTTTGCTTAAGTAATACAATAAGCGCTTACAACCACACCCACTATTAGGGGGGTGTGGTTGTAAGTGTACCTGGAATTTACAGGGTTAACAGGTTCTCTTTGATGATAGAAAATGTGTATCACACCTCATGGTCATCTTCAATAACCACAAAAGCGCCAATGACCACACCCACTGGGTGTGGTTTTTCAAGTATTTCAAACTTCAGATAGACTCGTGGTCACCATGCTCACCTGCGAAAAATGATTTATCGCATTCCATGCTTTCGATGAATCTTGGCGAAAGCGCCGTGGACCACACCCACTGGGGGTGTGGCTTGTCAATTTTCGAACTTCAGATACACTGTCGAGTTCGCTGTGTGGAGCTGAAAAAAATGATATGTGGCATGCCATGCTTTCGATGAATCTTGGCGAAAGCGCCGTTGACCACACCCACTGGGGGTGTGGCCATTCATCGACGTCGCGAGAAGACAAACGTCACAATTTGACGTATAGGTTGAGTCTAATTTTAAAATAAATGACGTAGGATATTACAATTTTTATATTTAAATATTTGCCACTCCCACTGACCACACCCACATTGACCTGAGTGAGCGTTTCGTGACCTGTTGGCGTATAATAATGACCTAAGTTCCGGTGATAAGAGTTATAGGCTTATCCGCCGACAAATATTAAAATTTCATCATTTTAATTGGTTCAGAGAAATGGATGTTTCTCTGACCTTTTGACCTTGATCATAAGAGGGTGTGGTCGAAATTTCAAAATCTGAGAATATGTATTTTGCACAACGGTCATATGTTTTCAAGACAGTTGAGATTTTTGAAATCGGTTGTAAAATGAAAAAGTAATTCAAATTTTAATTTTCAATGTTATTAGGCATTGCGAGGTCGGCCACGTAACCTTTTGCCAAGAATTGTCTTTAATAAAAATCTCCATACCATAACAATGCAGGTTTTTCTCATGTAATACTCAGATCTTGATGGGACTAATTTTAATTTGTTCACCATCAAAAATAAGCGGACCCCTATTTTTTCTTTTTTTCCAATGGTCGCATTTGAGCGCGTGGCGGGATTTTCAAATATTTTTCCAGCCAAAATTTCAAACTTTGAAATCGCTATAACTTTTTGAATTTTGGGGCGAATTCAAAAAATCAAAAACATGTTTGCTTAGAATTACTTCCTCTACAATATAAAAATCCATTTTCAAAATTTTTCGAAAATTCGAGTTTTTTTTTGAGATTTTGTATATTTCGAAATTCAAAAATATGGTTAAAAACTCGAATTTTCGAAAAATTTTGAAAATGGATTTTTATACTGTAGAGAAAGTAATTCTAAGCATACATGTTTTTGATTTTTTGAATTCGCGCCAAAATTCAAAAAGTTACAGCGATTTCAAAAATCGTGATTTTGGCTGGAAAAATATTTGAAAATCCCGCCACGCGCTCAAATTCGCGCATTGGACAAAAAGCAAAAATACGGGTCCACTTATTTTTGATAGTGAACAAATTAAAATTAGTCCCATCAAAATCTGAGTATTACATGAGAAAAACCTGCATTGTAAGTAGTTTATTTTTAATATATATTTTTTACCACTATAAAATATTAATCCTAAAGTTTCCTAAAATACTTCCATCTAAATTTATGAACGCCTCTATCACAATTTTTTTTATAAAATTTAATTACGGTTTACAATATCCTCCAGTCTCGACATTAAGTAAATATTTTACACACGACCATTGTCTCGAAAGTGAAATTTCCAAGTTATTTTTTTTAAACATTATTTTTTGCCATTGTTTAAATTTACAACATCAAACCCACTTTTGACGAATTGTGAAACATTGAACAAAACCAATTGTAAATGTCTACTATAAAATGAGGCAGAAATTTACGAAAAAAATTCCTCCAAACTACCCCCCAAAAAAATAATTCTTTCCGCAAATACAAATCTCCAGTATTTTATTCAGATAGTAACAACTCATCCCCATTTAGCCACACATCCTACACGCACAAAATTTTAAATAAAGCTCCAATTATTTATTTATATCCGAATTGATAATAAGTATAAGTTATGGCATGCGTTTCACCATCCCTTTATTCCCTTTAGCAAAGTTTTTACCGTATTGCTGTCTAAATATCTTGGAAACTTACCAAAGTAAGAGATCTCGTAATAATCCATCATTTTATGGCACAATTTAAATATATCTTTTACTTTTCTTACACGGCACCCATTAACACCAAAGGCATCACAAAATTTCACTCTCCCTCTGGAACCAGCTGCAATAAGGCGATCGGGATTTTCCAAAACATGAAAATTTCCTTTTTTCCCTTGTCAGAAAAAAATATTTTTCTAAAGTATTCATACAGAAAGTTAATTTGTCAGTACTTGCTCAATCATATTAAGTATGGTACGATTCATACCTTTCAACTTTTTGTACCGTCATTGCCAAATGCGTCTTGGATTAAATTACATTCTCAAATTTTCTACAAAAATTCATGAAACACTTGCATAAAATAAATTATAAATTTATGTACAGGGCAAGTGCCTTGCAGTGAGAGAGTAGACGAAACTATCATCACGCATGAATACGTAACCTGAACCGTTAAAGTTTTCGACCTCGTGGTGAGAAGGTTCTGAGCAGAAGCACGATCCGGCAACTGTACTCCGCAGAAATCTTCCCCTTCTCCATTCTACGGGGTGAACTGCAAATTCCTCATTTTCTATACTCCGGAAGTTATGGCGAGTGAAATATTTCAAAATTATTTATACTTTAAAAATTCGTATCATTAATTATCATTGCGATAAATTAATTAGTCAACCTCGCCAATAATATTTTGCATAATGCAAACACGCCGTGGTACGATTACAGGTGTTGAAATTGCGTTTACTTAAATCTTACTGAAAGCTCACATAAATAATTATTATTTTTATCAAATTTTATGTCATAAAAGTAATGCTTAGAAAAACGTAAAAAATATCATTTCCTATCTTATCTCAATATTTGGACTAATATTATTTGCATATAACAAGCTCGGCATTCCATCGATGTTGACCGACAAGCATGCAAATTTGCATAATATTCTCCCTTATGAATCTTATCTCATCCTGTCTGCCTTACAAATATTGTATTTCGTTCCAACCACTTCAACCTAAAATAATCCCCAACTAAAAAATATATCACAACAGACACATATCCCTTTCTACCTACGAAGATAACATAAAAATCTCACCACCTTTCGCCTAAATACCAATCCCTCCACATTACTCGTCCACCAGTACTTACAAGTTGTTAGTCAAGGTTTATTGAACTTAACACATTTAAAAAACAGTTTTCACCATGAAATATTCATATTAATAATTTTTACAGAATAATTAATAATACTTAGCTTTCCGTCATTAATAACAATATTTCCACATATTAAATATGTCTCCCCTCACTACCACGTCTCTCCTCCTGTTGACCACACTTTTTTCCAGTGGATCCACCTTCTCACTTTTCCCCATTAAAAATCAATCTTCCCTTGATTCCCAACCGGTAAGATCAGAATTCCACCCCATTTTATAACACTCACTATATTCTACTTAATCCAAATTAGTGTCAAACTGAAGAGACGACGTGCAAATATAACCAACACACTATCTGCTATTGCGGTGATGCAACTTATCAGGATAAGTGCTGCCCTAATGTAACCACCTGTTGCCCCAAATACACTTATTGTTGTGGCCAATCTTGCTGTAATTATGGCGACACCTGCAAACTTGACGGGTGCTATCAATACGAACGCCAATGGTCAAGATACGGATCTTCTGCTCTCAAAATTATTGGGATTGTGGCCGGCCTTTGCATCCTTTTTGCTTTCGGGGCTACCAAGGTGCTCCATTCTTTGAAAATAAAGTGTCCAGTGCACCCATCACATCGCGGGGAAATTCAGCCAGGAGAGGATGCGCGCTTGGAGGAAATAAAATCTCCGGCAAAAAGTCTGGGCGACGAGGCAGAGGAGAAAAGTACAGCAGAGAAATCAGTTTAGACTGCCAAAATATAATTACTTGTAGTCACAATTTGTCCTCTTTTTAATTAAATATTTCATCAACTAAATTAACCTAAATTTTTGTGTATTTAACATATCCATCCAGAATCCACCCAAGACGAATTTTTCCACATACTTTAATCTGACAAATAGGTAGATCCAATAAAGCTACCGGCAGTACGAAACTCTCAAACGAAAAAAGACACTCAACCCCGTCGACACATAAATCCCAAGCTGTACACTCCTATCCCAAACTTAACGAAGGTTACGTGAAAACCCACAATGTTGGATAGCTTTATGACCAACTAGTACAGTAAAACGTTATATATTTTCTCGATTTTGTACTTATTTAGGTGACCGAAATATAAAATGTGAAAAATCTAACAGAAACATGCACAAGTTAGGAATGATTTATTTCCAAAATTTCCATTAAACAATTTAAATATTTGTCTAATCGATACGGGCTAATACATATTTAGATTTATAAATTTTATTATAAAATTCCATTTCAACCTAATTTCAATACAAATTTTAATAACTCATTTATATATCTCTTCATTTTCTCAAAAATATTCAAACAATACCCTCACACCCAATCTTTTTCAATTCCAATGAAAAAATCACACTTTTCGCAAATTCGATTGAATTATCATTCCCCGTTTCAAGTACGGTTTTCCTGGCAGAATTTCTAGTCACGTTGTACTTCCGCTGGACATATCGCTTCAAATCAAATCCTTTCTGCAACATTTTAGATACATAAATATTTACACAATTTGTTTTGTATTTACTCATTAATGTCTCATCAATTTAAAATATCACCTCCTCCACAATCACATCAGTAACACCAGATCTGTTCCAGGCTTCAAATTCCATACCGCAACTTTGCTCCTCACAAGGATCTAGTGCATAATTCCAGACACAAAAGGTTCTATAGACACAAGAGGAAGTCCACGATACGTTTCCGTCCGGTGTGACCAGCACGCTCCCCAATTTTGAACAGTCGCCACTTGGTTTTGGTCTATTTTAATTCTTACAGTTTCACCATTTTTTATACAAAATTCCGCTATACATAATTAATTACAGTATTTAAAAATAATACCCGTTTAGCAGAAAAATTTCTGGTCTCCACAAATTATCCTCTGCTACCGTCATGAATTCTACTGGAGTCAAATCCATATCCCATTTCAATCGGCTATCGGTCCAAATCTGTGTAATTATAATTTAGTTAAATAATTTGATTTAAGATAAATACATACATATTTATAAAACTAAATTTAGCAGATGTACCAATTTTGTCCACACATTGGCATCCATGAAACCCTCGGTGTTCTACAAAGTAGAAGTAAAAATAAGTAAATACGATTTATAAATTTGTCAAAATTCACTAATTCATAAAAATATTTAGTTACCATGTCCACATCAATCAAACTCATTTCAACTAGGATAACAGCTCCACCGTCTGGGTACAAATTTTTATTATAGTCTCCAAATAATTTTGACCATAATGTACTTCTAATTGCCAGTGGTGGATTCTGAAATCCTTTGTCAGCCCCGTTCTTGTGCGATATGGTTCGATTCGATTCTGAAAATACAATATTCAGTAGTAAAATATGCACTTCAAAAATAAATGTGTGGATATTTTCACAATAAAAACGTACCGCTAAAAATTTGTATTTCAGTAGTTGCACGCTCTGCCAAAAAACGAGGTGCGTCTGTGGCCACCTCACAAATATATGAACCACTCAGGGCTAGACTTACATTCATGAGGAGGACCTTAGTCTCATCAGATTTGTCCGACTATTTAAATATGTCGATTAACAGAGAATGGGTAAATTTTTGTCACAAATAATTTGAAGAAATTACATCGATAATCATCCCATCATGTGGAAACGCTGTAGTTCTCGGTGTCTCGTCCTCAACATAGCGAAAGAATTCATAAAATTCATAATACCATTTTACAGCGTACAATTTCTCGCCTGTAAGATTGTAGACGCAATTCAGTTCAAGGTTATCATGCTCATAAATAGGTGTAGGTGTGTATTCGATTCTGTCGACGGTTAGTGCAACTGAAATTTAAAAAAGTATTTAGTAAATTGTAAAAAAATAAAATAAATTAGATATGGAAATATTTTACCAGCAGTGGAGAATAACCCGAAGGTAAAAATTATTTCAAACAATTTCATATTTTAGATTTCTTGCATGACACTTATCAATGTGAAATTATTTGCATACTAGTGATACTAAAGTGTGGTGATATTTCTCGCTACTACACAATTTGGACTAACCTTGAAGTATTTAATGGACTGTTTCAAGTGGTCGTTAAGGCGATTGCGATAATTGCCTTAGATTTTTTAATGAACTACTTTAATTAAAATTTATTACGACTAAAACCACTGTGATTTTCACATGTCGACACACTACGTCAATTAATTTCTTAAAATAACATGTCCACAGATTATACGTGTATCTTAAAAGCCTAACATGCATCAGTAGTTGAACTCAGTAAATACTTCAATTTTTTTTAATTTGAATGTTTTCTATACATCCACTTCTTTCCATTCCATAAGCATGTCTTAATAACAGTACATGGTTACTAAAATTATGGCAAAGTTGTGTTATAATTAATGACACCTGCATCTCCTCATACATACTTAAATATACAAACTATTACAAAAGCAAGTAAGCCCGTCTCAGCCAACAAGATTTAAGTATTAATATTGACTAGTACAGTCCAATACTTTTCATGATTAACGTCAGATTCATAATTTGACACATAAAGCTCAAATTAAACCATGAAAACGAGATTTCCAGTAAAGTCACTCTACTCGCTTTCTCTTTTTCCCTCATTTCTAGATTTTAGTACTTTCATTCTCTATTTTAATTCCATAGTCGACAAAAAAACAAGGGCAGAAAGCATTAACTGAAAAATATAATTAACTTTTAAACGCTACTTTTCAAGGAAATAAAAAAATCAAAGTACCGGAAACGCTGAAAAATAGAAAGCCTCATTTTTTTGCATACATATTTCCGGGATATAAATTACATATGTAAACATTTCCCCTATCTGAACACATTTCAGTCCATTAAATTCCTCTCATTAGACAGTCTGCTCATTAATTTTTTGTCCATATGAAATATACATACCTTTACAAACTATGCTTCGCCGGGCCCCACTTGAGCTTATTCGCATATGCTTTTTGAGACGGGGCTTTGCCTCACCTAAGAAGTATATATGATTTACATATCAGGTAAGTCATGTTTTCGATTATGTACTACTTTCTACCGTTAACAATACCAATCATTCCCTGATATCATATCAGTGATATGCAAACATGCCCTCTGTCTGACTGGTCTGACTGGGTGTCTTCGCTCCTTATAGTTAGGATTTACATTTATTTTTTTTGATATATCTATATATATTTTTTTGCTGTTTGCACAAATCTTAATCTATAATTCAAATGTTGATATCCAAGTCTCACAATGGAAATGTCTGTAAGAACTGATGGTTAATATATGGACAATAAACATACATACATGTATGTTTATTGTCCATATATTAACCATAAAAACAATTTATTTCTTACGGTCGCAAATATGTATTATGTCTGCCAATATATACTCTGTACTGAATTGAGTAATTACGTAATAATGAGTCATGAATGGCCGATGAAATAAAATAAACTTTCGTGACTAGGTAACGTTCATAAATTACGTAACGGCTACGGGTCTAGACTGATAACCTGCCTATATATGTTACACATGTTACAGGGGGGTATAAAAATCCGGATTTTAGGATTACGTAATTTATGAACGTCCCCTTATTACAATAATGTTGATTGTTTGTAAATTATCATACAACATTATGTACATCTTTAAACACAAAGTAAAATAAAACCTCTCAGTACAGCTTTGCAAAGCCCGAACCAGTAAATTTATTTCTGTATTTTCGTAATATCTGAAATAAATTTCGCACTTTATATTTTTTATTCATGCCAAATTTCAACTCAAAATTAGCCAAGATACTTTCCAAGTGCATAACCGCAACACCTGGACAAAAGCAGTACAAGTCCAGCAATATCAAGCTACAAATTTCTCCAAACTAATTAATCCTGCCTTGAAACATTTTACACCTACCAATCATTGACAAATCGGACCACTAAGCAAAACAATGGTAACACCATAAACAATAGTTTAGTTTGGTAGATATAATTTCTTGTATATTGACTAACCGTAATTATTGGAATATGAATTATTCATAGTTTTAACAATACCATTGGTTTGAAATGAAAGATAACAGCATTCCATCTCATATCATTCGCATACACCTGTCACGAGATAATGGAATTGTCAACCTTTACAAATTGATTAATTGGACTTGATTAAAGCGATAAATTGGAATAAATGAATATATAAAACCTTCGGCATTCTTTAATTCATTCCAGTTGGAACCAGGAACACAATTAGAAGCGTTAGTCATGTATAGTTTGTTAATCTTGTTTCCTCTGTTTCTTTGCGCAGTTGGGCAAGACGTGCCTGAAATCGATGCCGGTGTTCTGGGTAAAATTCTAGGAACTTATGCTACAACAATGCCCGCATCCCGTGGGAGAACGTACATGCAGTTCCTTGGAATTAAGTATGGGGAACAACCAGTTAGATTTATGGTATGTACCTTTATTTAAGCCCCAAATTCAAACACTAATTTTCTCCCTTGATAGCCTTCTGAGTTACGGGAAGAACTTTTGAGTGAGGATGGAGTCTTTAACGCCACCCAGTATGGAAGTAGATGTCCCCAGCCGGACGAAAGAGATACTTTTTTTGAGGATTGTCTCTTCCTCAATATATTTGCTCCGAATGTATATTAATAACTTTATTAGAGACCGTTACAGTTAACAGATGGCGTTTTCCACTTGATTTTAGATTTCAGAGAAACGCCACCCCGTATTATTGTTTATCCCTGGTGCTGGGTTCACATCCGGAGGTGGAGACTGGATGCGTGGCGAGCGACTACTGAATAAGGACATTATTCTTGTTATCCTTAACCATCGACTGGGAATTCATGGTGCAAAACTCTTAGATAGCCTATACATTTTATAAATGAAATACGACTTACTTCTATTTCGGCACTAGGAGCCTGTAACCTAGAAATAGCTGATTTGGCTCCAGGGAATGCAATGCTATCTGACACGCTAACCGCTTTAAGATGGATCCAGTCCTTCATTGGTTACTTTGGCGGGGATCCAAATCTTGTGACCATCGCGGGTCAGAGTTCCGGGGGAGCTATGACATCGCACGCTCTCGTTTCTCCTAAATTTAGAGGTCTTGTTCATAGGGTTGTTGCCGTTAGTGGGAGCACCCTTGACCCCTCCACGTTTTCAAGGGATCATTCAACTGCAGCTTTGAAAGTTGCCGGGTTTGCGGGATGCTACGATCATTCCCTTCCTGTAAACAAGACTCAAGTCGCAATATGCCTCAGGGACATTCCACATGAGGAGTTAAGTAGAGCACAAGACAGTTATTACATTGACGAAATGAAAATGGGCACTAGTATTGGATTCGAAGCTATTAACCCAAGTTTACAATCGTTTATGGCTTCGGATCAAGCTATAATTCCCCAAATGCCGTAAACTGTGTTAGAGAAGGGGGAACAGAACAATGTCCCCCTCATGATGATGATTACAAGAGATGATGGAAGTTTTGGACTCACTCGGTATCACGAGGAATACTTAATTCCTAATGGTTTGGTAAATGATACTGAGTTTATGAGAGACAAGATGGTGCAGGCCGTGTTTAAGGCTATTGGTAAACATAAGTAGTCATCTACATATTGTTTAATTAAGGACGAGAATTTTATTATTTTATCAAACCCGCAGGTATTCACGATCCTGGACACACAGTTAGTGGAGCATTTACCAAAATGTACATGGTCGAGGAGGCAAGGTTGGCTGGAAACTTCAGTTTGATGGTTCCCTCCTTGTTTGACGTATGTAAAGAAGAATTTCCAAAACAAGTATAATGGATGCGATGTTTCTAATGCGAGTGATATATTTTCTAGTTGATGAGCGTCATTTTCTTCAAAGCAGGAACTCTTCGAACAATCCAACTCCATTCTCGGCTGAACTCAGATACGTACTATTTCAGCTTTGAGTATGAAGGGAGATACAAACGTCACCCGTTCTATTCAAACTATCAGGGTGAAGTAGGGCATGCAGACGATCAGATTTATTTGTTTAGTCTGTCTGGTGAATTTAATGAAGAGGAGCAAGTATTAAGTGATATGATGGTCGACTACTATGCGAACTTTATGTACACGGGGAATCCAAACACCTTTCCCCCAGGGGAAGCACCATCCAGCCTTCCATTCTGGCCAAAGTTTGACACCAACTCTGAGAAGTATTTGATTATCGATGAAAATACGAGGGAAGCTTCTAAATACGAGGACACTTGGGCTGTTGCCAACCGAAAGAGGAAGTTGTGACATGTCCTTCCATACCCACTGTCCTCAGTACAACTACTTCTGCACCAACCACTACTGATGATTCTGGAAAATCATCTGCTAACATTATGTACAGTAGCATTTTACATCTACTATCACTTTTAATGTTAAAGGTTATTATGTATGATAGAATAAATTGATTTACTTATCTTGATAATTACATGACACAATAATTCGTATTTAAACAAAGTGTATGGACGGTAGATTTTAGTTGATACTCACGTGGATACTCACGTATCCCTTGAAAAAACGTCACAGGAAACTGCTAAATTCTTCATTTCCACTTCTGTATAAACACGTTAATCCAGCTGTGACACTTTCCAAACTAGATCAATCCTGCCACGTTTAGGTATTATTTGACATATTTTCAAAGCGTAGGGTATTTCAGAATTTATGGTTTTCTCTCTTGATATCGTTTTAGATTTTTTTTCCAAAAGTGGTTTTAAAACATTGTACACATAATATGTAGCATTTATCTTTACATTATGTGGAAATCAAATCAAATCCAGTATCCGACGACCACTCTAAGCGCCGACGATCATTACCTTGTGTGCAGACTTTTCTCTTTTTCGAACACAAACTTTTCAATTTCATTTCCGGACTTAGAATAGCATATCCGGCGACTCTTTTTGCAATCATCGACGAAGAATAATGCCTCGTCTAGGATGACAAAAGATTCAGATTTTTTCCCTCAAGATGACTCCGGTACGGCTTCCGAGATGTGGTCTTCCGTATTTTTTTGGCGTGGTTTGACGGCATGTACTCTGGTCTTCTTGCAGGTCTGTTTGCCTAAATCTCGATGAATAATCCGATTTATTGGACTCTGGTAGTTGGGGGCAACGATTATGGTAGGATTTTTTAAATTAGAGCCAATTCTTGGTAAAAGGTTACGTGGCCGACCTTACAATGCCTAATAACATTGAAAATTCAAATGTAAATTACTTTTTTATTTTCTATCCGATTTTCAAAATTCCAACTGTTTCATAAACCTCCGACACATAGGCCAATTACGTATTACCCGATTTTGAAATTTCGACCACACCCACTTATAATAAAGGTCACAAGGTCAGAAAAATAACCATTTTTCTCAACAAATTAAAAATATGGCATTTTAACATTTGACATCAGATAAGCCTAATTCTTATCAATGAGTATTTAGGTCATCGCCATCCGTCAATATGTAAGCAAAATCCCCCTTCAGGTCAATGTGGGGGTGGTCAGTGGGAGTGGCAAATATTAAATTATAACAATATAAATATCCCACGTCATTCTTTCGTGCAATATGCTCAAATTGTACGTCATATTGAGCTGTGTGCCGCCTGGCGATATCGATAAGTGGTCACACCCCCAGTGGGTGTGGTCCACGGCGCTTTCGTCATGTTCCATCTAAAATATAGCGTGTGACATATCATTCTTCTCAGCTTAACATGCCGATCACGATAGAAGTCCTGGGATTGGAGAAGCATGAAAAGCCACACCCCCGGTGGGTGTGGTCCACGGCGCTTTCGTCCTGTGGCATCTAAAACATGGCAAGTGACATATCATTCTTCTCAGCTCATTATGGCGATAATGGTAAAAGTCCTGGGGTGGGAGATGCATGAAAAGCCACACCCCCGGTGGGTGTGGTCCACGGCGCTTTCGTCCTGTGACATCTAAAACATGGCAAGTGACATATCATTCTTCTCAGCTCATCATGGCGATAATGGTAAGAGTCCTGGGGTGGGAGGTGCATGACATGCCACACCCCCAGTGGGTGTGGTTTACGGCGTTCATCAGATACGTGGCATCCGACATATGGTTTTTTACAGCTCAACTTCATGGCGGCAACTATTGTCTGACAAACTTGACAAGCCACAAACCCACTAGCTCTAGTCCACGTTGTTTCGTTTAAAAATTCGGATTTGCAACCAGTTTTCGAATTTCTAAATAAACAAAATCTCGGCAAAAATCTCATTCTCATAATTTTTTGAAATTTTTATATGTAAACCAATTCAATGCATTGATGTTTTTTTGTTTTTTTTAACTCGCCCCAATTTCCTAAAACTTAGCGATTTTAAAATCGAAAAATTTGCCGGAAAAAAAATTGAGTTTGCCACCACCCGCTTAAATGCGCCCCTTCTGGCAAAAGAAAAAATACTGTTCAACTTGTTCTTGAATCTGAAAAATCTAAAATTAGTTCTATCAAGATTGGAGTGTATCACGTCATGCCTTCTCAATGTTAGAATAACCTGCTCATATCATGAAATATGATCCTAACATGAATGGGGCCACATAAATTAGACTGCACTGAAGGTTTTAGATGTTACCCTCTGACGATAATTTTTAGAAATTATCAGATATCGTTAACCAAAACCGCACCCACTGTGGGCGTGGTTATTGTACAGGGATTAGTCTCTATGATTTACTCAAGTTCAAGAGCCTATATCTTCCGATATTTCAGCGCTAGGGAATCCAAATTAGTTTCAATTTACTCACGAACATTGTCCTGTGAAACTGTAATTTTAATTTAGAAAAAGTTTGAAAAATGCAAAAAATTCTAGCCCCCGATTGCGAGCTGCCCATAAAAACAGTTTCCGGAGATGATTTCACCCAGTGGGGCACTGTTTCGAGGTTGAAAACTGTCGGAAATGAAATTAGTCAGAAGAGTATATCTCATGTGATAAAAAACCACCGAAAAATTCGATATGCAAGATCGTCCGGTGAACTTGCACCACTATTTCTTCGACGACGCCGGGCAAGAAAAAAGCAGTGATCAAGAAAGTTGAAGCAATGGCGAGCGAGGAAAACTTACGCTCCCAAAATTTCATGGCAGAATCTACGAAAGTAAGCCAAAGAATCATAGGGGTAATGATTCATACCGATTTAGACAAAATTTCCTGAATAAAATCAAAGGTGAATGTACTGAAGCCGAGTCATGTCAAAAATAGGAAGACCAAGCCGCGAAAGCTATGTGAAAAATATGTTTCTGATAAAAAGTGTGAATTTCTTGTCACTTTTAATGAATCATGGTTCTATCTATCCAACTATAACGGAAAAAGACAGATTTGCTACCAAAAAAGAGGTTAAAGTATTCCATCAAACTGGGTCATGCAACGTCGCGAAAGTTTTTATGGTTGTTGGAGGAATGTGAGAAAGAGGAACCCTTCCACTTATCCGAGTCCCCCCAAAAGTTAAAATTAACTCGGGATACTATATTTAGAAGGTTTTGAATCAATGTTTGCAAGTTGGAATTGCAAAATTGTTCGAGAACGATATTGACAAAGTTGTATTTCGTCCTGAAAATGCTTCCTCGCATACGTCCCGGAAGACCATGGCTTATGCAGCCAATTTTAAACAAATATAAGCAATTACAATTATTCTCAATGAAAACATTCTAGGCACGTCCGCTGATATCAATCCGATTGATTTTTATGGATTCGGTGCCTTAAAACAAGCATTATTTCTTCGGAGGGCGACCAAAAAAAGGAGTTTGGAAAATTTTGAAAATCGAGTGCGACAAAACAATCCCTGTAAATATTAGAAAAGTGATCACCGAGTGGAAAAACGACTTGGCCTAGTTAGCATAGTTAATGGGCAACATATTGAGTCGTTCAATAAAATTCACCAACGGAAATTACTACAGACAAAATTTAGATAAGCTTGAGTAAATCATAGAGACTAACCCTCTGTAATACATCAAATTTAATTTTCATTGTTGTGACGGCAATATAAAGCTGCGAAATATGATACATTGCATTACATACCGCCGTAAACCACACCCACTGGGGGGCGTGGTTATACCATGTTACTTAATTTCATAAGAATGTCCTGGTAGAGTTGAGAAGAATGATATGTAACACGTCATGTTTTGGATGAAAGATGAAGAAAACGTTTTGAACCACACCCACTGGGGGTGTGGCATGTCATGCATCTCCCACCCCAGGACTCTCACCATTATCGCCATGATGAGGTGAGAAGAATGATTTGTCACTTGCCATGTTTTAGATGGAACATGACGATAGCGCCGTGGACCACACCCACTGGGGGTGTGGCTTTTCATGCTTCTCCAATCCCAGGACTTCTATCGTGATCGGCATGTTAAGCTGAGAAGAATGATATGTCACACGCTATGTTTTAGATGGAACATGACGAAAGCGCCGTGGACCACACCCACTGGGGGTGTGACCACTTATCGATATCGCCAGGCGGCACACAGCTCAATATGACGTACAATTTGAGCATATTGCACGAAAGAATGACGTGGGATATTTATATTATTATAATTTAATATTTGCCACTCCCACTGACCACCCCCACAATGACCTGGGGGAGGGTATTGATGACCAATTGATGATAATGATTGCCGAAATACTCGACAAGATAAGAATTATTCTTATCTGCACACAAATGTTAAAATGTCATCTTTTTAATTTGTTGAGAAAAATGGTTATTTTTCTGACCTTTATTATAAGTGGGTGTGGTCGAAATTTCAAAATCGGGCAATACGTAATTGGCCTATGTGTCGGAGGTTTATGAAACAGTTGGAATTTTGAAAATCGGATAGAAAATAAAAAAGTAATTTACATTTGAATTTTCAATGTTATTAGGCATTGTAAGGTCGGCCACTTAATGATTTAGGAATATGGCAAAATTGGCTCTAATTATAAAAATCCGACCATAGTTCCTTTGTAAAAAGTAGGGTCGGGTTTGAACAAGTGAATAAATATGCAGATACGGCACAACAAGTACTTGGAAATCAGAGGGAGCCTGTAACATTTCACGAGTCGGTTGCTGTCTCCGTGGATCTAATTGTTCCGGCCTTCTCCCTCTGTGCGGTTGTTATGGCGTTTGGGGTTTTTGGATTCTTGGTAGAGAACAGGAAGATGGTGACACTTTTGGTAAAATACCTTGTCCACGGTTTCATCCGAGGAGCGCGTCTTGTTTGGAAAAAAATTATAATGCATGCTTATAGGGGTATAGGTATGATCTTTAATAGGAGGCGGGTCACGTTTGTACAGGTGAGACCAAAATATCTATGTAGAGAGGGTTATTGATCCAAAGTGTAGCGCAAGTTAAGGCATTTAAGCGTAACATAGCAACGCATACTTGCGTAACCCGTCTAAAAAGTTACAATTATCACCGCTTACGCTTTCTTCATATTGCAATACATAATGGCTAG